GGCGCGTGGGGCTTTGTCGATACCTTTCCCGCGGTACAGTTACAAGAGGTGTCGCCGTAGCCACGCCCAGGCTGGCCCGTGCACGTTGGGCCGTCTAAATCCATTTACCGTGCAGTCACGGGAGGTCATGCCGTCGGCACGTCGGCCATTTACGTAGCTTAATATAAGCTTAAATATTCATTTTTAAGCTAACGTTACGCACACTTAAATGCATCTTATTTAAAACAATTTAAAGTAACTGCCAAAGTCATACTTATCTAAGTCTTTATGTTTTAAACGTAGTCAAGAACACATGTGGAGTACACTGCTGCAAATCAGTGCTTTATCTTTACTGCAACATTAAGCGACCTTAAAGATCAAGTAAGGATACGTTTATGTTTAAGTAGACTTTACGTTGTTCTTTAAGAGAGTGTAAAGATTGCCTGCCGATTGTGGCATTTACGATGGCTTAAGTGTGACTTAAATAATGCTTAATTATTTTGAAATATTTAAGCCTTATTTACGAACACCATTAAGGATGCTTAAATATCGTTTTTCGTGCAGTGGAGGTCCCGTGTTTGGGGAGAGCCACACCCCACGCACTTTAAAAAAATGAAATGAAATACCTTTATTGTACATTCATGCCACGACGGGCTAGGTACAGGTCAAGATATAACAGACACATAACAAACGTATATAGACAAAAGATGCACTACTTGACTTAGACATACATACATAAGGAACATACAAGGGTACTATACTACCGCACTTATCGAAAAGAGTAGGGGACCCGAGTTCTTGTGTGTGTCCTGTGTGAGTGGTTCAAACCTTACGGTGCGATATTACGCAGCTTGTACATGTACAAAACTGGTGTGTTACGTATACGCCTAAAGGCGGTTTACTTTTTCACAAACAAAAAGTAAATTATAAAGAGGAACGTTCTGAACATTTCAGAGTAGGCTCTTAGTCATACGATGATAAGTTTCAGAGATATCATCGAGTAGGAAGGTGGGAGAAATATAAAAACGCTGTGTACCAGGCTTTTTGCTTGATCACCGTGTGGGACACGCAACAATTACCATTGATGTTGATGTGACATTTCGTTATATGGCGCGCCATTTGGCCTCGTTTTTCCGGCCAGACCGCAATTTTGTGGCTTCCTCGATTCTTGGAAAAGCCGGAAATTAGGTTCGGATACCAGGCCAGGGTGTGTATGTGTCAAAAACCAAAACTCAAAATCAAATCGTGTCCAATTTTTTTTTT